AAACAATGCGAGGTATGAATAAGCCCGCTGCCACCAGTATTGTAAAAATGTTAACTACCGAGCGGAATAGTAGAAAAGCTGCAAATTAACAAAGAGTTCTAAATAAAATAATTTATTATGCAGGATTATTAATTTCAATACGTTCAGATACAACTAATTCACACAATTTAAATCAAGTCAAAGAACCTGCATAATGTCAGTGTTTAGACAAAAATAACGAATATCAATAAATATATGTTTCAATAATAATCGAACAATTCCAAATTTAGGCCAGGGTTGGGCTAAAAATGTTTCACGGCAAAAACACCACCGTCAAGTACAATGTGTAACGGAATTCACCGTCTTTTTACACAAATAATACCTGAAGATGTGTAATTAAATGCTAAAATAGCTCAACTTAACTTCTTACATAAATTCACAAAGCCAAACGTGAAATAAATAGGTTAGGAGAACGAAAAGCAGCCGTTCTCTGGGACAGTTAAATTTCAACTTACCAAGTTGTTTACGTTCGAAACCAAGATGTCATTATCACGGAATATTTCCCGTATTACTTACATTTCGCGAATCTCGTATACGCGATTATTACACTGACAAATATGCATGACCATAAATTATATACAATTAATAGTTTTATTCCATAATAACAATATTTCAATAAGCACACCCAGAATTAAATCCCGTATTTCAGAAATAACTTCTTTGTTGTGATAAGAACGACAACTCTTGCCCAAAACATGGAACTACGGCGGAAAATGTGTCAACACAGTAAATTCTACTGAAAACGTTGATTAATAAATGAAACGAGACTAAAATGTGCTTTATTAGGTCTGTCGTACCTTTACACAAATTGGGCAAATCTAAATAATATGAAAGGAATAATATTTCATAAGAAATTATCATTAAAGATCGAGGTTTGTCCAAATACCATTTCAGTTTCACAACACAAAGAAAAAAATCAGAATAAAATACACTTTAATTTAAGGAAACTATATTTGTGGATAATGAAAGTTGAAGCTAAATATATCTTTCCCAGACAATCTTTTAAAACTGTAAAATGCAATGTCTTTCTGTTGAACAAATGGACAATAATTTGTAAACATATTACATGTTTCTATATTGGTTGGAACAAATTTTGAATGATTAAATACTACTTGGAAGAAATTTCTTCCAACTTGAGAGAGGATGAAAAATGAAGTGAACAAGTTGAGTTTATTAACTAAAATAGCCTACTTTATTGGTAATGAAATACATTTTCTAATTTGTTGGAAGAAATTTCTTCCAAGAAGGAACATAAAATAAGTGAACTATCTTTGTTGAACAAATAAAAAATAATATGTAAATATATTACATGTTTCTATATTTGTTCGAAGAAATTTTGAATGATTTAATATTACTTGGAAGAAATTTCTTCCAACTTGAGAGAGGATACAAAATGAAGTGAACAAGTTGAATTTATTAACTAAAACTATATACTTTATTGAAAATGAAATACATTTTCTAATATGTTGGAATTTATATGAACAAAATGTATACAAATTATTGCTTTCCATTTTATTAATTTATAGGTTACTATTTCTTTATTTCATTGTGATTAGAATGTTTTGTAAAATATAAATGTAAATTTAATATATATATCCAATAAAATTGTCATATTAATGGTGTTTATTTCTCCATGTGTTCCCTTTGCCAGAGAAGAAATTTCTTCTAACACTATTTTTTTTTACAAAAAATACCAATCAAAAGCAGAATATTAGCATATGAAATTGCAAAATTAGGTATATTCACAATAACAGCAAATTTAGACCTCTAAAAAGGACATTCTTGGATTTTCCTTTTTTTATTTTGGACTCTCTTATTCATAGACAGCTTTTTTGCTGGTTTTAGAAATCTTACATACAGGTATTAATTTTGGTTTAAACATTCCGTTAATATGCATTTATTAATGCCACATGAATAAATCTGTTTAGGCCGGGAACTGAAGCATAAACCAACAAAATCATTTGATATTCGAAAATAAATCCCTTTTTCTTGCGAATTAATTCGCAAGGTCGACTATTTTGAAGCACAGTAGTTACTTAGTTCTTTTCACATCCTCAATCTAAAAGGAGGGGTATACTGGTTTCCTCCTGTCTATCCGTCCGTTCGTCGGTCAAATAAAAGTGTTGTTTATCTTGGAACTCAAACATTTCGTAGCAAGCTTCTTATGGGCAAGATATACAGTGTGATGTATTTTCACATTCATTGCTCATCAACGCCCTGTTTACTGAATATATGTACTTATATATCATTACATGTATGAGATTTATATCACGTTTTTCTCAGGATCTAAAGATTAGAACAAATTAACTAATCTAACTGTGGTATCATCATTCTGCTTTCACTGTTTTCACATACGTTGCTATTCAATTTCCTGTTTACTGAATTCTTATAATAGTAGGGGTGTCATATGTGAGCAGTAACATACAGATTAGTTTATTTAGTTGGTTTTGTTATTAATCCGCTTCAAAAGATAGGAATACTAATAAAAATTAATTGTAACTTCTAGTATTTGTTAATTTTTGAATGGTGATCGTTGATGCCGTCTGTCTGGAAAATGGCTTTTAGAATATACATGGTTAAGATATTCAGTAAAAGAAGATGTTGGTTTTTTTTTTGTGGTCCATGTGTTTTGTTCGGCCAAAAAATGATGTCTGAATAAGTCTTCTATTTAAGTCTGAAATGCCTCTAGAATGCAGCATTTTTGCGTCTGTTGAAAAAAAAAAAAAAAAAAACATTTATACCCCCGTTTTTTATTTGGGCGTGCACATTATATGTACCCAGCTACGTCCCTGGATTGTATATTTTGTTTTATTATATACTATATTATTAAAATTTTACAGTTCAATAACATTTAAAAATATTAAAAGGCTATGAAAGGATTACTAGCTTTATTGATCAGATTCCTAAGAATTTCCCCAGCGGGCTGATAAAGGAACCTTTATTGACTGCTTCCGGAATGTTATCACATGCCTTTCCGTTAATTTCCGTGACGTTTATCACATGCAACTTCGTGCATTGCCGGAAATTTGTTTGAAAACGACAACACAGTGCGGAGAACCGCAAGTGATTTAAGACTTTTCACAAAATGGTTGAGGAGCAAATTTCAAACTAAGAACATGATAATTGTTGTGACAAGATAAATAAAATGCTTGTAATATCAATAAAAACAATTAAAGTTAAGAAATTTGTATTTGGTTGTCTGTAAATTATTATCTAAAAATTCATGGAAAGACAAAATTTTAATTAATAGTTCTTGTCTGTATTTCTTCTGTTGAAGTATAATTATGATAAAAAGATAATTACATGTCATTTATCATATCAGACCCTTTATCGGCCCTCGTTCATGATATCAGCCCTCGAGCCTGTGGCTCTTGGGCTGATATCATGACCTAGGGCCGATAAAGGGTCTGATATGAAAAATGCCCTGTAATAATCTATACTTATGGCACACGTCTTCTTTATATACACCTTTATACCAGATATCATAAGTCAACGTCTTAAGATAAAGTTTTGACCAGGACAAAGCTGCACAAGAACCAGACGAAAAAGTAGAAAGGGAGCCATAATGAAGAGATATGAGGCGTATGTCAATAAAACAGCAACCTTTATCCACTAAAAAATTGATATCTAGATATCAAAACAGGTTTTAACTGTTATGGACAAGTGTCTATACAATATGTTAAGCTTTAAATCATCCCATGTCAAGAAGAGTTGTAATAAATTTAACAAGAGTACATACTCTGTAAGGGGGCGAACATTTGATTTTCTGGGAGGGATAAACGTGCATAGCAACATATGAAAATGAATAGTCAATCCCTAAAACAATACTACTGCCCTCTCCAGAATACCAAATGGTTATCCCCTAATTTCTCGCCTGCTTTTCTGATCATTATTGAATTTCTGTTGAAAGAGTCTTTAAGATCATGGTTTTACTACAGATATCTGTATAACGTCACATTAAATGAAAAAAAAATAAAACATCTACTTGAAATATATAATAAAGTGTATATTATGATATGTCTTTTTCAATATCACACACCTTATCAACCCTCAACCAATATAATCCCTCGAGCAGAGCTCTTGGGGTTATATTGGTGTCTCGGGTTGATAAGGATGTGATATTGAAAAAGCCATATAATGTTCTCTATTTATATTAACAAAGATTCATTGCATAACAATATTGCTCGTAAATGTCATACAATGATATTTTATCAATTTGTTTATTTCAATTGATATTTGAACAATAGTTTATTTGGTAAAGAATGAGGGTTTGATTGGTTAACAATATCAATGATTTTACGATATACTGGAAATTAATATAGTTTTTTTAGCGGAAGGTACATTTACAAGTCGACCTCTTCTTCTTTTCGATCTTTCAGATCATATCACGTTGTCTGTACGATAGTCTTACTAGAGTGTACAATTAAATCATTTATAAATTCGAAGACGTCTGAAAGCAAAATGTTGTATTGGAATATAAAATCCAATTTTGTTGGGAAATTTTGACCATGCTTCTGGGTGAATTTTCTTGATTGATAATATAGAAAAAAATGCGTTACCGCATACGTTACAACAATAATCAGGAAATAGACAAAAATATGTATACGATTTTTATGGTCATAAACGTCCCAATTGTCTGAATACATAATTAGAATTAAAAGTAAATGTGTGTAATTACATATTTTGAAATGGAAAATATTACTCTTGATAATTATAATAATCTATAAGGTAGAGTTATTTGATTATTTAAGGAATTGATCTTATGTCATTTAAACCTTAAGGATAATAAAAACTGTATAGACCATTAAACTGTCAGGACAATGGCTGTCTTAAGTTTGTACATTACCGTGAAATCGTAAGATTATACAATGTCTTAAAGAAGATTAATCATTAATTGTGTGTTATACTACTCCGATAGAATCATCAATGGTTCAATAACTAAAGATATCATAGGATTTATACCAAAAGCTGTCCAATTCAATTTCATGTGTCGATCCGATTTTATTCAACCATTTCATTTCAGAAGATTGACTCTAATTACAGTTTGTCGTTAATTTCAAGTGAATCATTAAATGAAACGTGAGGGCGGAAGATTTTCAAGCATTGATGTCCGGTGAATTTACATTTTAACTTGGTGTACTGTTAACCGTATCAGTTATATCATATGGATCTTTAGGTGTTACAATGCATTGGAAGGAACATTTTAAGCTGAAGGAATTGGGTCTAGCCTATAGTCGTCCCCAAGATTTCGTAACTTTACAAGTAAGTGCCTTTTATTAAATTTTTATACTGAAAGTTTTCAAATTTCCCCATAAATTTATATAAATTCTTAAATTATCTAGTTAAATACAAATTTGAAATTTTTTTATTAAAAATATAAAGGATTATAAAAGAGTATGAAAATATGTTTCCTCATGTCATAGTCAGGTTTTTAAACAAAATGAAATAAAATTATTGACCAGTGTTTTTTTTTTTTTTTTTTGTTGTCAAATTGAAGTTGACTCTGTTTTCTGTAGAGGAACTAATACTTTTTTTTATTTATATATATCATCATAAAATTCTCTGAAACCTTTGACAATTAATAGTAACTGAGTTCAGAATCTATTAAAAATCTGTAAATAATACATAGATTTTTTTTCAGGAAACGCATTTGCATACGAATTCATATATTTTAGCAAATCTTTCTGATCGAAAAATACACAATATTTAATCTTTTGTTTTATTTCGTTTTTGGTTTTGTCATGTTTGAACATTCGTGAATCGGCCAACAGTCTAAGATTGTTAATGTAGAAATTTATCAATTTAAGTTCTATTTTAACTATTTTCTAATACATACGTTGACTCTAATAGATAGTATAATTGCTTTGTAATTTTTTTTTCTGTAGACAAATGTTTAAACAACAACAGTCCATGTTTTGTTCAACTTTGTAAAGTCGTCTTTAAATTAGCCAACCACGCAAAAAGCGGTATTAAAAAAAATCCTATGATAAAATATTATTTTCGGGGTGTATATAAATATGATCTTCATTTGAAAAACGAATCTTGGATTCAAGTTTGTTTAGGGTTCATAAATGTTTAATCAATAATCTAATCAGTAATTTAATCATACTGATGTACAAAAAATATGAATACAATAGGATAAAATTAAAATATCTACGTTTTTCTAATTAAATTTTGCTAATATATTATGGCATTATGGCGTAGGAGTTAGAAAGGGGGATCCATTTTTCTTTTTTTTCAGCGGGTTTTCTTTAGATTGTTTTATTTAGATATTTTGAGGTTGATAGCAGCTCTTTGACATTTTCGGTTGGTAAATCCATATTCAGAACTTTTCTAGACGCGGGCACATTTAGAGCTTGACATTTGGGTACGGACACTTTTCGATTAATGAAGACAGTATGTTGACCTCAACATGTCTTTTAGTGTGTGTGTGTGTGTGTGTGTGTGTCTTTTGGTGGCTGTCAAATTGATGGAATACCAAAGTCTCCTTTTAAGGTTCATGTGGACCCTTCGTCTAAAATGGCTGCATTTTCACCTCAAAATTTACTCCGAGTACAGACAAACCTGTGCATCTGGAAAAGTTTTACGGCATAGCATGCCCTAGATAAATAAAATTCAAATATATTTTATGTTTTAGAAAATTAAAAGCTTAACCGGATTTTGCAGTGCACTTTTTTCCATTCCACCAGAAGGTGCCAAAAATAAACAAAGTTGGGAAAGAGGTTTGAGAACTTCCCCACAGGTAATAATTGAAGTGAACTGTTTTGATTGACATGGACAAAAGATGGACAATAGATACCTGACAATAATTGGTGATTAAAACTGTGTACCTGAGTGGACCACATCAAGTGAAACTCAACTGTTTGTTAATTTTATCATCTTCTGCAGGGACGAAAAAAAGTGCACTGCTAAATCCAGTTAAGTTTTAAATTTTCTAAAACATACAATGCATTAGAAGTTTATTTATCTAGGGCATGCTATGCCTTAAAACTTTTCCAGATGCGCAGGTTTGTCTGTCCTCAGAGTAAATTTTGAGGTGAAAATGCAGCCATTTTAGCCAAAGGGTCCACATGAACCTTAACTATACTTTTAATTGTTTATGCCTATGAAAGCTTACTGTTATGCAAAAGTCCTTTCAAAGATATGTATTACAGGGGCGGATCCAGAACCTCGATGTCTGGGGGGGCACCATGAAACCAAAATTAAAGATTTTTTTTTTATATATGCATATATGCGAGTGTGGGTGGTGTTGATGTCATGTATTGTGGATGATGGTGGTCTTTTTCGGGTGGGGAAGGTGGGTCGGGTCTTCATTTTTATATCTTTTCATTATTTTTGGGTCCATTTATTTCTACTCTTTTATTTGCTCTCAATTGTACTCTATTCTTTACAGTTCATCACAGCTTTAATCTGTTTTCTATATTTTTTTGGCCCTTTTTTTCTAGCCTTAATTTTTGACCATTATTCTCTAATCTGTAAACCCCATTCATACCCTCATTCGTGGTAAACCATTGATACCCTCATTCACGGTAACATATTCATACCCTCATACATGGTAATTACAACAAGAAAAATATACACATATTACTGTACTATAATGGAAAAACAAAGGATATGGGGTATCCATCCATGACACAAAATCAGTACATGCACAGCAAAAAAACACAAAATAAGCTTTTATTGCTGTTCTTCATCTCAAATATAAGTAGGTTTTCTAAGATACAATATCATTTTATTAATGATTATATGTAAGACACAGACCATTCATGTTTTGTGGAAGGTTTTGTTTCCATAAAAAAAATAAAGGAAAAAAACACGACATTCAGTTTTAAAAAAATGATGTATGCATTGAAAAAAATCGTTTGTTGTTTAATAAAGTCCGAAAAAAACTGTTCTGAGAAAGGCACATTCCTCAGAAACCGTATACAATGTGAGTGTTTGGTAAAAAAGACGTATCTCATATCGATACTAACATTTTTGACACTAAACTTCTATTTTTACATATTCTTTTAAGACCGATTTTAGTTGGTAATTTCTTTTCTGATCAGAAGATTTCACTTGTTAATCGATCTTGATCCTGTAATATTGTATGAGAAACCAATAAATAATTAATTCCAATCAGCATGTACATGCACATATAGTTTACATAGATGCTTTTGGATATAGACATTAAACAACTGGGGGGGGCACGTGCCCCCTGTGCCCACCCGGTAAATCCGCCACTGTGTAAAACACTCAAATGTGATAAAGCGGTGGTCGAGTGGTCTAAGTAGTTACTACTGTAATCACTAGCCAATCAACACCGAGGTTGTGAGTTCGAACCCCGCTCGTGCGGGTGCACTCGACTCCAATCTTAATTGACAAGGATTGTCAGTTTTCCTATCGAAGGTCGGTGGTTTTCTCCGGGCACTCCGGCTTCCTCCACCAATAAAAACAGGCCGCCACGAAATAGCCCAAAAACGGTGCTTAAAAGTGGCGTTACAACAGTCAAATGTAATAATAGATTAAATTGTCAGCTCGGGACTGTCGGCAACCAAATACTGCAACTCTAGATAGAGAATGTTACACTATACGATGGCGTTTAGTATTCTGGAGATTTGACGCTAGACATATCGTAATTAAAATAAAATTATTTAGATTAGTCGATTATATGGATTATTACATGATTATATGTATTTTTGTGGTATAATCTCAAATGAGTCATAAAACTATATGTCCTATAAGCAAAATTTTTAAAAGATTCCAAGTGTTCTTCAGAAAATGCATAACCAAGTCAGGAATATGACAGTTGTTTTTTTTTTTGTTGTTTTTTTCCTCCCGTCGTTCATCGGTTAGTTGATATAGTCGAGCGTTTGGTATTACATGTATCAGTTTTGATAGACCTCCTCATTTTGAATTTACCTTGGAGTTCGGTATTTTTGTTATTACATTTTTAACCGGTTTTTTTTTTAACTTATTTTGCAGTATTTATCAGAAAGCACTCTATGCATTGTATGCTTGCACACAATTTATAGGTCATATATGTATATTGACATATGCAGACATTTTTTTCTTATTTATCTTTTAGTTTTATTTTCGTATTATTATTTTGTGTTAGGTTTTGACCCTTCATTACGTATTTAAAGACATAATAGTCAACTTACAACATATGACTATAGATATCTTCAAGCGTTAGCTCTACATCATTGATTTCAAATGAGTTGGCGTGCAATCTCTTGATTTTTATAAGAAAATAAAGTAATTTAGATCGACTGCCAGAGCCATTTAGCATGCTTTAAGGTTATTTTGTGCTAATTTATGATACATCGAAATAATATAAAACTATAATTAACATTGAACAGGGTGTAACCTCAATGGTCAGTACCTTTTCACGTCACATACATCAATCATTGTGTAGATTATACAGACTGTTCGTTTTAAGTCTTGATTTCTTCTTGATGTGTTTGTAACATCATTAAATTACAAACTGTAATGTAAATAAATTGTACCCTATAATTATCATCAATGGAATACATATTTTTGACCTTCAGACATAGATAGACAAAAAAGATCAGGATAGTTCATTGTCCGTGTACTGAAGGTTAGTAATTATGAACACATTGCCAGCGGGGTGAAAGAAAATATTCAAAGGACAAGGTTTACTTTTGGCACAATATGGAAATAAATTTCAACTTTATCATAAAATATCAAAAAGGCCACAATTTATTTCTTAAATGGATATATTTGAATGGTTTTAAACTAGTCCTTTTTGGGGCCCTTTATAGCTTGCTGTTCGGTGTGAACCAAGGCTCCTTGTTGAAGGCCGTTCTTTGACCTATAATGGTTTACTTTTACAAATTGTGACTTGGATGGAGAGTTGTCTCATTGGCACTCATACCACATCTTCTTATATCTATATATGTCAGAGTAAATAAGAAGATGTGGTATGAGACAACTCTCCATCCAAGTCACAATATATAAAACGTTAACAACTATAGGTCAAAGTACGGCCTCCAACACGGAGCCCAAAATTAGAGCATGAATGCTAAATAAAAAATCTCTTCATAATAGTACATTCTAAGTGATAATAATATCACAATTATATCGGAAATTTGTAGAATTTTGGCCTGTTTAAAAAAAACAACATTAAAATCGTACTAGGCCCAATTCTAACCCTAAGTGAACATCTCCTTTTTATACGCCCGTCAATTTTTGACGGGACGTATTATGGTATACAAATGTCCGGTGTCCGTCCGTCTGTCTGTCCGGCGTAAACATGTCAC